TTGATTATCGTCTTTATTTTGACTGTTGTTTTCTTTTTGGTTATTTTGTATTAGATTTTCTTCCTTTTAAATTATTCAAATAAATCTAAATTAATTATTTTGGTACTCAATTAATCATAATTAATCACAATTCTTGTGGGTTCGATATTCTACTTATCATTATATCACTTAGAGCGATTGATGCACTTATTAGAGTGATTTTTAATGTACCAGATATTTAACATTTGTTATTCTCGCTATGTTAGGGTGTTATTGATTTTAGTTGAAGTTAAATTAGTTTTAAACTTTGCATAACAGATTAAAGGATTCTAAGCCTTGAACACATGTGGTTTTACTCACAGTACGTAGTTTGGCATTTGTCCAAATCTAGAGTTTGGGCATGGCAAATGGTTTGGATTTGAACCAAGGTTTTTAAAACCAGACCGGTCATTGAACCATTTTTGGGTCTGGTTTTCGGTTTGACCGGTTCAACCGGTGAATCGATCGGTTCAAATAACAAGGGAAATTTGATGAGAGGGATAGGTAATTTTGTAATTTCATTAAAATTAAGGGTTAAAATCGGTATAAGAAAAGAATGGTGAAGGTGAAATTGGAAAAACTAAAAAGAAAATAACATGAGAAATTGAACCGGTTGTTTTTCTGGTTCTATCGGTTCCACCGATTTCACCGGTTTTGATCGGTTTTGAATGGTTTTGATCGGTTTTGAACGGTTTTTGACCGGTTTTGGCCAGTTTTGACCGGTTTTGACCTCAAATGGTTTTTTTGTGTGAACCGAGCCGTTTTCATTACTGGGTACCGGTCCGACCGGTTCAACCGACCGGCCCGGTCCGGTTTTAAAAACCTTGATTTGAACAACATACACATAAACTTTGAAAATGAGCCTTGGAAATTTTAGCAAAGGTTACTCTTTATAGGCTAACTGATTTCAACTAGAACATTATTGCATAAGATGAATATGTATTTCGTTAGGACTAATTGTGAATGGAATTTGTATTATATTTTGTAACAAGATGGGTTTAAAAGAAATAGCCTACTTTGTACTAGTTTTAAAAATGATCTTGTTATGCAAGTTAAACTTTGAAATTTTATTAGTCTCTAAAATATTTTATGCTCTATAACCCTACCAATGGGTTTGAAATATTGGTCATGTTTACCATGCTTTTAGTATGTAGAAACTAGTTTTGATACCACTTGTTGTTAGTAATATAATCACAGCCATTATTTTGGGATTGAGCCACTAGTATAATGTTGGTATTTTCTATAACCGTGTTGTCAATATAATAACAATTATTTTTAAGATGATGATTACCAATGGGAAAATGATTTGTGCACACCCGGGTCAACACCTGGGTGTGCACACTCCCCATTGAAAAAAAAAAATGCCCATCACCACCCGATCCAAATTTTTTTTTTTTTATGTGGGGGTGCACACCCGGGTGTTGGATCCGGGTGTGCACCAATCAAGGTCCTTACCAATGATATAATAGTAGGAGTAATTTATCAAAATGACACTTGTGCCCAATTTTGTTAAAATTTATACTTTTGTTATGAACTAGTTTTGTATTTGCTTTTCTTACTTCGTGAAAATTTGCTTTATGAAGTTAAATTCTAACTTTGATATGCCAACTTTCATTTGTTCAACTAAAATAAAATTCATTTTGGCATGCATACTGATAAAATCTCAATATTTCAAATACTAACGTTAAAGATGGTGACGGATCCAAGGCAAATGATGTAGTAGTATCTAAACATCGAATTTGTTATTTGGTTTTCGGATTTAGACATGATTGGTTACTCCCTCCATCTTAGAATAATAGACTCTTTTTTTTTTTAATTAATGACTTAGGGATAATTTGTATTTTTACCCATATTATCCTTAAATATGAAATAAAAATAATTAAACTTAAATCTTGATATAATGAATAATTAAAGTAACTAAATAATAATAAATTTAAAGTAGGAAAAAAATATTTGTCTCCTTCAAATATGAAAAAATGACTAATTATTTTGAGACAAATTTTAAACAAAAAAATTTGTCTATTATTTTAAGACACAGGTAGTAGATGATTTTGGATTTTGTTGAAATTATTTCATAACTTAACTTTTCATCACTAGAAAATTAAATTTTAGATCGTGGAATATTTCAAATATATATTTGATATTATGAAGTAATTTTAATTGAACTTTAGTAGGTTTTAATTTTGCATAACGAATTGAATGAATCTTAGCCTCGTATACTAGTGAGTTCTACCACAAATGTACGTCTATTCTACTCTTAGGTTCTTAGGTTTAGGGTATGATAATAATTAAAATGAGAAAAAGAAAAATTAGGACATTCTAATATTAAAAATAATAAGATATCCAATCATAGTTACTAAATATGCCGGTATAATATAGGTTCTAAGTGTATCAAATGCACTATGTAACTATTATTAGAGATCTTGATATTTTTAATATTAGAATATTTTAATTTTTGCTTTTTTTAATTAAAAAAATTTTAAAAATTAAAAATTAAAAATTAAAAATTAAAAATTAAAAAATTAAAAAATTAAAAAATTAAAAAATTAAAAAAATAAAAACAAATAACACTTGGCTAGTCAAGGGTAGTCCTTGAATGCAGATAATATTCCTTATTCAAGCTCTGTTTAGTCAGCAAGAAATAACATACTATTATACTTATAATTGTTATTTAATCACTTATCGAAGTACTAATAACTATTAATTAATAATTTAAAATCAGTTTATAGATTGATATTTATAAACAACTTAACCAAATGTTTAAGGAGAGACAGATCAAACTAATTAATTTTATCAATCAAATGAAATATACCATCACATGATATACAGTACTAATAGATAGATTAAGTTTAACAATGTTTTGTATGTATCTTTTTCACACAACATTTTATTTAAATTATAAAATTTTAATTATTAATTAATTTTTTTAATATACTTTTACTAATTTTAATTAGCATTTAAGAAAATTCTAAAATAGACGACTCACAAAAGAAACAAAAAAAGAGTAAAATTTTATGTTAAACTCTTAAATTTATTTCAAATTCTCTTAAATTTTTATTAAAACAAATAAATTTTTGAATTTAATAATTTCAGCAATTTAACTTTCCTTTTATATGGTAAGTGAATGTCCATTTATGTCTGATTTTAAACACTTATTTACTTTAATAAATGTTTAGAAATTTAATTTAGATTTTGAAGTAAGTTTGGAGGATTAACTTAGAGTTTTGCGGGGAAAAATAGAGTTATTTGATTTTGAGTTTCACTCACCGCGCAGGAGGTTGGCCGAGTTTTGACCATGCAAACGACGGTAAAAATAGAAAACGATGCAGTGAAAAAAATCAAGTGGTAATGATATTGATAATTGATGAAAGACGATCCCAAGCTACGCGTAATTTCCGTTGTCGGCCCTAAGTTTTCATTGGCACGCAGTAACTGTGATTGCCTACGAAAGGTAGTAGGGAGACCGCACTCGGCGTCTTGATTCATTTTCTTCATATCCAATCGAAGAACCTCTATTTCTCTCTATTTCTCTTTTTGAACAGGTATGTGTTAGCTGACCTCTGGTAAGCCTGATCATGTTCTGTTTTCTTGTTTCTTCGTCAAAATTCTTATTTTCTTATCATCTAATTGGGTTTACCTGGTCTCAATTCTGCTGCTTTAATTGTTTTATTTAAGTCTGCTCTTTTCTTGTGGTTTTGAAATCTAAATGTTTGTTGATTTTCTGAAATTTGAGTAAAACCCTAGGCTTCTTAATGGATGACCCAAGGGGACTTCTCTATGTGTATGTCTTTGTCGATGGATGGTTCTGCTTCTTTACTGGTTGCATGTAAACCAGCGATTACAAAGATTTCGAATTGGGTCTTTCGTATATAGCATAGATGTTTTTTTTTTTTTTTTTAGAAATTTTCTTTTATTTAGCCATCGCATAGATATGTTATTTGATTTGAGGATTTGGTTTCATTTTCCTGTAAAGTTTTCATTATCTTCTTCTTCTTTTTTCTTTTAATTTATTTTAAGTTGAAATGTATGGCAGGGATTGTGAATTAAAGAATGTGACTCAGTAGTTTGCATTATCCTTTTGACTGAGACTGTTGGAGAGCAGTCTTAGTGACGATTGTTAATGCTCATCGTACCATTGAAGGAATCGTGATATCACATATATAAGTGTTTCTGTTTCTCCAGAATGCTTATTTGTTTGTTTTTTCATTATCTGATTTTGATTTTCTATTCTTCACCTGGTGTGTGGAATCTAAAACTTCATCTTGTTATTTGGTTCTTTGTGAATCTGTGGAATTGTAACTCCCTTGAACTTCTCCATGCCCATAGATAATAGGAATATGGGATTGGAAACTGATATTAGTTATGCTAATCTATTTGATTTATAACAGGGTACAGCTTTGTTTAATCCGAGGAAATTCCTGGTACCTTTTTGAATGGGGGAATTGAAAATTACATCGATCATCTTGATTGAGCTTGTATAGCTGTCAGAATTTTAATAATTGTTGTTGGTTATGTTTGTTAGCAGTTTAACAATAATCATGATTATTGTTATCTGGAAAAATGAGAAAACCTTTTCGTAGGATTTAGCACTGATTAATACCAATAGGAGAATTTGGAAATATGTTTTGCTTTACTAATGAGCAAGATGGTATGTGATCGATGGAGATTGAATCTGTAAAACCAGGCATAATTGATAGAGACTGAATCTTAGATAATGTTGGGGGCTGAAGTTGCTTTGAAAGTTAATTTGTATGTGTCTTCATGAAGTCAACTTGATCAAAAATGTTTCTTCTTGTTATAGCTTCTTGTTTAGTGCAGTGATCTTGAAAGTTTGTAACTTTTGTTCGTTTTTCTTTTGGCCTGTTAGGATCAAAGTTTTCTCATAACACTTTCTGTTTAGTTACGTATTTCTCCTGTGTTTCTTGTACATTAATCCAATCTCTTAGAAAAAGTTTTTAAAAGTTGAAGTTTTTATAAACTGTTTGAATGAAAATCTTTTATGCTGCATGATAGTTTTTTCTACGTACTTCTGTAACATCCCAAAACAGGTGATTTCCATACACAGCTGTAGACAATAGCTGAAATTTCTGTTGAAATAGATTTCTATTTGAAACTTGGCAAGTCTTTAGCTACATTAAGACTAGAAATCATCTTTTTGGTTCATAGAGAACATTCTTAAACTCAAAACATAACTAGCATATAAACCACAAGTTGCTTATTCACAAGACCAACAAGAGGTACGGTTCTCTTTAACAACCAAACATAACTAAGTTTTGTACATAAAAGAACTTTTAGGTGACCAGCTTGTTTACAACCAACTGTGAGCCATGACAAGGTTTTGGTCAAAGAGCAAGTTTGTATTACCAACTCAGCTGCCAAGCTGTGTCTTCGGCTGGTTGGATTACTTCTGGGCTTCCCAAGAACTTATGAGCTGCTATATAATACTCTAACTTATAACAACTGGAAAAAAACAATATTTCCATGAGCTATAAGGCTCAATAAGTAACAAATAGCTTAACAAATTTTAGATATTCACATTAGCCAAACCAGAAACTGTTCTCAACAGTATTCAGTATGGTTCCCTGCACATTTGATGATAAATTGTACCAGAAGCCCGTCCTATCTTGCAAGCATTAGGACAGATTCTGTTTTATCAATAGAAACACATTTAAACTTAGCAAGGTAGCTTTATGCACATCTAAATGTTTCAAGAGAATGCAAATTACTTCAAGGATTTCTTTGATTCCCAAAGGATCTAATATCATCTTTTCACACTCCCAGTCCAACTGGGTTTCATACTCCTAGTCCAATTGGGTTCTACCTAGCTCAAATGCTCAGGTGTTTACCGTAATTTCTTATACACAAGAAATGTGATACTTCTAGTTAGTTCACATATTACATGAACACTATTTTAACTCACACACAATCACCAGTCTGCATGGTTATGTGAAAAATGCAGCAAGCACATCTTTATCATGCATTCTGCAAGTAATTAATTCACCAGAAAAATCCCACAACACAGAAAATGCAGAAGTTACTAAGACCATTCCAAAGGTAAATTAACAGTAAGTGTCCAGCTTCTTTTGCACGTTTCTAAATTCTTGTGTAGGGGTAGTCTGAAAATTTATACTAAAATTTCTTCTTAAACTTCAGAGTATTTAGTCTAGCTTACATTTTTTAAGCTTAAAAGTTACTTACGTCAAGTTAAATGAGGTTGCACCCAAAACTCCTCAAAAAATCTTAGTTTTGCTGCTGGCTTTGCTGCAAGGCTACAACTCCTCTATTTCTGTTTGCTCATCTAGTGCCAGAACGGAAGAGAAAATGGAATTCATTTTAATCATACCCTTCTCAAAGCATACTAATTCTGACATAAGTTAGTGGGTGTTTAATGCATTCCACTTCAAAACTATACTGCACTTCTCTCACTGTGCAATCACATGCCAAGTATATGTTTACCTGTCATTAGCCTAGCAAGCCATTTGTTCGGTAAACATTATTAAGAAATCAGTCCCTGAACTTCTCTTAACAGTACAAGACCTCAACAATTAAGTTTTTAAAATTTAAGGTAGTAACTTCTAATGATTTGGTAGATGTTTTTAGAATTGAGATTGAATTAATGTGGTAAATTCTTGTAGCCTTTGGTTGTGCATTTTTCTTGTTTGTGCCTTCTGGGTATAAGAGACTTTCTTTGTTAATGGTGCGCATGTGCACACATATAATTTCACAAATTCAGTGGTTGAGATGAACAATGCAGCATATGTATTTTTTTGCAAGAAAGGAAATTGTTGTTGTAGCATCTTTGTTTTTCCCTTTACTATATGTTCTTGTTTGTTATGCTATATTCTTCACTTAATATCCGTGTGATATGAGGTGGTATTGCACCCCTGTTCTGCTCTATGCTAAACTATTATATTATTTTCCACTAGACACCTGTGTGGTCTGAAGAAAATGGGAAGCAGTGGTGCTGACAAAATTCCTAGAGATGGTGAGCCTGAAGGTTCTGAGACAACCATTGAAATAAAAATAAAGACATTGGATTCTCAAACTTATACTTTGAGAGTTGATAAACAGGTAAATTTCTCTGTGCTGTTTGTCATGATTTAATTTATGTGCTAACCCCATGTTATCTTGATCTTGATGTGACTTTCCGCAAACTAAAAGCTGCCAAGGCATATATGATAAAGCGGGTCCATGTATCCAGTTTTCTTTGGACGAAAGCTTCATTTCTTGAGCTCTAAATGGCAATTGAGGATATGTAATTTGTGCCCAGTACTCAACCACACCATACAAATGATAAATTTCAAATTTGCCAAATTTTAATGTTATTTTTTAATAAATAAATTTGCATCTTTACTGGTATATTAGTAGTTTCAGGCAAAGGAAAACCTGGTATATTTGGAGCAACCCTGTTCTGGTGTGTGTTGAACTTTTCTTCACCTATTTCACCATGTTCCTTGCTTTTTAAATTCTACAGATGCCAGTTCCTGCATTGAAAGAACAGATTGCTTCTGTCACTGGTGTGTTGTCAGAGCAACAAAGGCTCATATGTCGTGGAAAAGTTCTTAAGGATGACCAACTACTTTCTGCATATCGTATCCTTATTTGTATTGATTTTTGAAGAGTAATGTTAAGATGTTGTTGCATTGTTTTCTGTCACTTATGACAACTCCTCCATTTACACTATTATTGACTGTTTGCTATGCTTTGCACTTGCATCTGTGTTTTCCCATTTATGTTCCAAAATAACTGTTTATCAAAGATTAAAAGTAAATGATTTTCCCATGCCTGCTATATATTGCTTGCTAGATTGGAACTTATATTGACATAAATTTTTTCTTTATTTACCATCTGTTTGCATGTGGTAGTCTAGCTTTAGTTTCTCTGAGTTTCTTAACGAGTTAGATGTTGAGGATGGTCACACACTTCATCTAGTTGTCAGGGAACCAGTTCCACCATCATCTGATGGCTCACTTGATCATTCAGGTTTTTGCTTCATTCCAAGAATCAGTTTCATCTTTTTTTAACTTTAAGTATTGCATTTGCTGTTCCTTGTTTGTAGCTTTATGCTTGATTTTGTTATTGGTTTAGGCCCTGGTTAATAATTTACACGTTTGGAGTTTTCAACTTAATATGGCAATGTTTTACAAAAGCTTTATGGTCATTGTTTGTCTTATAGGTGTTCCAAATGAAGTACCAAATCAAAGAGTTTTTTGTTCTTATTGTTGTCATATTATTGAGTCAAGTTATATACTGAACTTCTTTCTTTTAAATGGAAACATCTAGTTACTAGTGGCTAAAAGAAATTCAGTTGGATTGTTTTTTGAACCTTACATTGCAAGCAACAAGATAATAAATCAATTGCATTGTAAGTCATAAATTGATTAGATTTTGCACACTGACTATTTGTTTACTATTATTTAACATGTTAAAATTTTGATTGTGCATTTTTAGGGTGATATGAATTCGTCACCATCTTAATGTTAAATTCTTAAGCTTGATCTTTTAACTAAGATAAAATTGACAATAACAAAGATGTTAGTTTCTTGGTATCTTTCACAGCCAGGTGTGAACTAACTATTCTCATATTATGTATCATAATAGAATATTTTTTACATGAATGTTCTTACATGTCATTCAGCCCTTCTTCAATGATACCTGTGCTGCATACATAATATCAATGCAACATAAATAGCAGTTCTTTTTCAAAGAAAAGCAAAGATAGTTCATCTCATAATTCTAAGAATTCATTGATCAACAATCAACACCATCATTTGCAGCACTTGATCCTGGATCTGGTACAAGCCACAGTCGCAGTAATCATGCAGGCTCGAGTGTTCTGATTGAAACCTTTAATATGCCTGATCAAGGGGATGGAGTTCCACCAGATATCAGTCGGGTGAGGGTGAAACTAGACATGAAATGTAGCATGTCCATTGGTTTCTGTGGGGAATTATATCTTTCTATGATGATTATTGTTACTTCATTTTTTTCTGGGCAGATTGTCTCTTCTATTCTCGGCTCTTTTGGATTTGCAAATATTGGAAGCAGCAGTAATGGGGTTGATGTCAGGGTAAATCTTAACTTCTAAATCTCGAGAATTGATGACAGTTATTTGTCCTGTTGAATTTTTTGAGGTTTCTTGCCCTGGTATTTATTGTCTTATTCTGTGGCGGGATGGATACTGAAGGGACATGGCTCCCAGAGACTGGAAAGAACATTTGGTGCAAGTAGCATTCCAAATTCACCTCAGCAGCAGCCTGAACAAGCTGGCACAAGGGGGCAATCTGATAGATCGCATAGTACTTTCGGACTCCCAACAGCAGTTTCCTTGGGGCCTTTGCAGCCTCCTGTGAGTTTGGAGTTCCTTTCTTGTCACTTATTGTTTGTCTCTAGATGCATGCCTTTTGAAATTGTTCTCTATGAAAGGAATCTTGTTGCACCCTGTTTTTGTGTTTAGATTGTTATTTTCTACTATGTTTTTCATTGTTGTAGGTAATTCCTGATTCTTTGGCTACTTTGTCACAATATCTGATTCACATGAGGCGTGAGTTTGATGACATTGGTTAGTTCTTAGATTTCATAAAGTTTAATGGAGTGATGCATGCTAATAACTCCAATAATATTCGTTCATTGACAAATTTCAACACATTGTATTGGCAGGTAGAGGTGGGGCACATGATTCACAAACAACTTCTATGAGTAGGACTGAAGATAGATATTCTAATTCTGCATCACATTCAGGAACTGTTCAGCAAGGGCTTCCAACACCTGCATCTTTGGCAGAAGTTTTATTGTCTAGTAGACAAATGCTCATTGAACAAGCTACAGAATGTTTGTTGGTGTGTTTTTAGCTGATATTCGAAGTTATTTTTATGCTCAAATTATTTTGTTTTGCATCCTTACCCTGATATTTGGAGAGTTGGTTAATTATAGACTGTTTTAAGTCAGGGCATGCTCTTTGCCTTTTAGATGTGAGTAAATTTTTGTGGCTTAATAATTTGGAAGGGACTTGCAAGACAACTGGAGGATCAAGCAAACGTCACTGACCCTGGATCACGGTTGAGCACACAGTCAAATGCATGGAGAACTGGCTATCTATTTCATAGTCTTGGCTCTTTTTTACTTGAACTTGGTCGTACAACCATGACAGTGCGGTTAGGTCAAACTCCAGTAAGATACTGCATTCCCAATGAGTGGCCTTTTTTGTCATTCCTGGCACCGTTTGTGGTATGTATGTGACTATGACTCTATTGTTATGCAGTCTGAAGCTGTGGTTAATGCTGGACCTGCAGTTTTTATATCCCCTTCTGGTCCAAATCCTCTCATGGTCCAGGCAATGCTCTTTACATATTTTATTTTAATCTTTTTTGCTTAAGTGATTTTAATTTCTGCTAATTGATCTGTATTTGTATAGTCTCTTCCTTTTCAACCCGGAACTGGTTTTGGTGCCATTCCAATGGGAACTTTACAGCCTGGCTCTGGTCTGGTCAATGGAATTGGGACAGGATTTGTCCCAAGGCGGATTGATATACAAATACGAAGAGGTAAAAAATGAACTTATGCCTGGTTTCTTGCTGTTGTTTGATAATCGTAACATCCCTAATTAGGAACTGATGTTCATTTACGGTAAGGTTCGTCAATGACAACACCAAATGCACCAAATGCTAATCGAGAGGAACACAGTGATAATCAGCAGCGATCAGCACAAAACACCCCAGCAACGGGTGCTGGTGGTGAGAATCATGATAGTCAAACATTTTCAAGGGCCTCTGACAATCCATCTTTTGCTGGACAATCTGGAGTGAGGGTTTTGCCAATCAGGACCATGGTTGCAGCAGTTCCTGCCACCTTTGGTCGTATACCTTCTGATTCTTCCACTAATTCTTTGGGGTTATATTATCCTGTGCTTGGAAGAGTCCAACATGTTGGTTCTGGATCCATGAGTGCTTCTCAAGCACCTGGCGAGCCTTTGTCTGTCAGTACCCAAACTGAGCAACATCCAGTTTCTGAATCTACAGTGCAACAACAAAATGCTGAACGGCCTAACCAACATGGTAATACACATTACAAAGTTCAACATAGTATGATGTTTAGTAAGTTTCATATGAAATTAAAGCTTGCCAGTTTCAAAATTGTGACAATTTCAGATCATGATTTTCTGTCATGGTCATTTGTTAGCATTTTTTCTTTTATTACTTCCACTTTTGTCCTTTAATGCTGTTTCTTTTTTTAGCCATCATTCTTTATTGCTGCTTAGTTTAGGGTTGAAAGGTATAACTAGTTGGTAATGCTCATTAGGTGTTTGATGGTTTAGAATTATCAAGATTTTAGTTGTGAGCTTCCATTTTTCATCTCGTCTTTCCTGGAGTGATTAATGCTTAGATTCCTTAGATTGACTTAGAACTGTCGACTGTCAACAATGACCTTGTAT